GGACACACTCAACATTGTTTGACCTGACCGAACATTCAGATTGATTTTCTACCTTTCTGATACTGAATTCCTCCCGCAATGGAGGATCAGTGGCAACGATCAAAGGTAGAGGAATTTCTCACACATCTAAAAACTGGTATTCTCGATGTGACGACACCAGGAGGCTGGAAGGTCTCCCTACTCACTTTCATGGATGAACCGTCAATGCAGGAGAGGAAGGTCTTCATGGAGAGAATTGAGTCCGGAGTATGGCCGGAGTTTGGAAAACCAATTATTGAAATTTCCGTAACTGAAAGAAGCTCATTCTCATACCCTGTACTCGTGCGTGTAACCAAACTCATGGCCACAACTGAACTCATTTCTGAAGCAGTTTCGAAACTTATAGCTACTCATCTGGAATTGGATATCAAGAATTATGTACAATGCCCTTCCACCAGGGTTCAGAGCCATCCTAAAAGAGGGAATCCAGTGATATCAACTCCGGCTCTGCACCACCAACCGCTTCACTTGCACTTGCTCACACAAGACTTACCAGCAGAGAAAGGTACGCTCAGGAGTCAGGCCGAGACTCTGTTGAGGACAGCTATAGAGACAGTTCAAAGTTCTTACTTACCTGATGGAACATCAACACTTCACCCAAACGGTGCTACGCAGATCCTTCATTGTCAAGATACAACTCATGTGATTGTGGTAGAGAAAGATTGGAATGGAATAATCACTATTGGGTTTTATCCAACACCAATACCAATTTGGCATCGAAGTGTTAAGAAACTTGATTGTATACCCGGACACAAGGAAAGGTTGACTGGTGTTATTAATGAGATCAGAAGTGAATACCCATCTTTGATCGACTTATCTCATGAGCCCAATCTGGATTGGAGCAAGTTGAAGGAGAGATACAATTGGAGAGCAGCTAGAACTGTGTCTTCCCCTAGACGCACTCAAACACCAGGTCCAAGAACAACTGCTTTGGCTGACTCACAATTTACTTCACGGCCTAACTCACGATCTTGCTCACGTCACTCACGATCTCGTTCACCAGCAACACATCCTTACCAAAACTTGAGAAACTCTCTGTCTTCAGGGGCAAAATCGCCCAGAGGGCGGTCGCCATATGGGACCACCACTCAAACTGTTTTCAGAGACCCGTCTCTTCCTCGGCAATCGAGAAAGGAGCTCCCTTCAGTCAACAGGGATTTCGTTTCGTGGACAGCTTGAACAAGACATATCGTCCGAAGATTTCTAACGGAGAAACCAACAAGTAGACGGCAATCAACACAGTCAAGCCAGGATTGACAATGGGGGGAATTGGCATCAGCCGGTAGATTACTAGGGTTCTGATCCAAATATAGAAGATAACCAGGAAGATGGAGGATATCTGATTCCCACAAATCTTAGATCCTCATTGAGCTTAGATGTGATTTCGAGTCGTTGGTTGTGAATCACAGGCAATTTTGCCCATCATATTTGCTGGTTTATGAACTCTCTGTACACATGATATGCATCTTGTCATTGCTGATATTCTTCAGGAGGTGAGATGAACATTCTCGTCCTACCAAATACTCGAGGTCTAAGCCCATATCGCGAAACAGATGGGAACTCCAACTCATAACTCCAGGCCGAGCCCACCGGACGATTCACCCATTGGTGCTGGGGCTGACCTCCATCATGCATCTCAAACCCCGGTGATACCACCTGTCACAACCAGCAAAAACGATCCGCTAACTCAGGTCTGAAATGATTCAGGATGGATCCCTCACACTTCCGAATTTGCAGGATCAACGTTGATCATCATTGGAGACCAAAGGGACCCCATCGAGATCCGTGCGGTCCGGAGACCAATTTCCCAGGTCTCGGTAGCGAGGCTTCTAGATTCAAGGACCGGTCGCTGAGAAACAATCCCCGTCTCGGGCTCGCGGGTTGACGGCATCCAGGGCTTGACGGCTTGGCGGCTCGACGGGCTTATACAAGAAAGGAAGGTTGAAATCCCGCATAACTGGGTTGGTCCGGACAGGAATATAAGGGTAAAATCTCCCTACTTGCCCTCCATCCGAATCCTCCTATTTGGGGTGACATTGCCAAAGCAATGGAACTCTCGGCTGCTGCTAGCAACATTGCTAATCAGCGTTTGGCAGTGCAAAGCTCTCTTCACCAGGTTATAGCTACTCTTGTGCGCAATTCTGACATCCCCATGATCGGCCTCCCAATTACATTCCGACATTTCAAAAGCCTTGTGGTGGTTTATCGATCGACATATGGGTCCACTCAGAGTTTCAAGGCCGTCCAGCTCAAACCAGATCATGTATCACTAACTGTCAGGATCACGCGGTACCACGGGTACCTTACCTTGTAGTCGTACTCTTTTCCATTCCCGTCCCCGTCTCCATTCCCGCGTCCGGGCTTACTCCGTTTGCTACTACGCCTGGATCCACTCATTCGACACCTCTACCCTTTTTTACATCTCCGTCTCGGTAACTATCATCGCTCTTCCTCTCCTATTCTACCTCGACTTCATTCCAAACTACGCATGCTCTTATCGGTATCACTCCGCTCTCTTTTTAGTATATAGACGTAGTCTTTTCTCAGCAATGTCTTGTCGAATGTATTTTGTGTTTTCCTAGTTATATCATTTGACATACATCTCATCGATCTTACAGATCTCTTCGATACACTACATCACTAGGTTTGTTCCCTACAAGGCCTCATTGTCATAGCTCATCGACGCAGACTATCCCGACGTCTGGTCCTTACATAAAATACATTCGACCTTACTTGTACCGAACAAGACCTAGGTGATTACCAACAACACGTTATCGGTTGTTAACAATGTCCCTTCCTGATTCACCCACCTTTGATCGCACATCTGTCGCAAATCTTCGCGATTTTCGACATGATCGTCGCACTTTCCAAGCTGAACTCCAAGAGATGCGTCAGCATCACCAAGAACAAAATCAAGTTATTATTCAGCTTCAAGCAGAACTTGCCGCTCTTCGAACAGGGCCGCAAGTGGGGAATCGTCCTGTAGAAGGACAAGGGACTCTCGAGAACCTGGGACAAGAACCTACAGTGCACGGGTTCTCTCCCAACGTGGCGGTAGTGGGTACAAACGAACCCAATCCGCATTCCAATCACTCTTCACCAAATTCCAACCACACGTCGTTGGATTTGAATGACACGTTGCCAGCTGTCAATCAGCAACGTCCAATTCATACTCAACCAATTCCAATTCCGACAAACGCGCATCGGGGCCAATCACACCTCAGAACCCCATTTACTAGTACTCCATTCTCTCAAACTCATCCTGAACGATTCAGACAGGGGACTTACGGAAGGCAAGGTGAACATATGAATTCCAACTACGACCTGTTGGGTTCAGACATAAGGAAGATGGATATCAAAACCCCCGACACGTTTCACGGGAACGGGGACAAGGTAGATGCTTATGTGGCTGAAGTAAGGCTTTATCTGGATCTTAGAGGGGGAGGTATGAACGATAGATTTAGAGTTTTGTGGGCGGCTAGTTATTTGAGGGGGAAAGCAGGAAGGTGGTGGCAAGCGTACTACGTCAAGTCGGAAAAGGACCAGCCAGAGTGGGCTTTCAACTTGAGCCTTTTCTTGGAACAGGTGAAAAGGATGTTTGGAGATCCTGATAGACACCGCTACGCGGTACAACGTCTAAAACGTCTTCGTCAAGACAAGTCGGTATCGGACTATTACTCGTCGTTCCTTTCAATTTCGGCTGATGTCGATTGGGATGACCGAGCACTCAAGGATGCTTTCGAATCTGGACTGTCAACAGAAATTCGAGTAGCTCTCGCAAATCGGGAACACCAACCTCAAACTCTTAAAGAGCTTGCAGACGCTGCAATTAGTCTTTACGTTCATCTAGAAGGTGTCAAAACTTCTTATCAATGGAACAATAATTCTGGTGGACAGGGCAACCGTAACAAAGAAGGGGATAGACAGAGGACAAACACACCTAAAGGAAATCCTACTACGTCTTCTCCGAAATCTACATATGGTCAGCGCGATTCCAACAACCAGAATGTGAAGAAAACAGACTACAACAAGTCCAAATCCAACTCTAGTAGGAAAAGTCTCACCTACGACGAGAAGAAATACAGACGAGACAACGGGTTATGCTTATACTGTGGCAACGCTGGCCACATGGCTAGCGCGTGCCCAGAAGCAAAGAAGAAACCACCAGTAACAGGGTCAAATAAAATCAAGCTGAACACCCTTACCGTAGATAATGGGTACCCTAGGAGGGAAGAGACGTTGTTGGAAAGGGAAACCTTGAAGGAGGAGACAGAGGAAACGAACCATGTCCACTTCTCGTCCATGGTCAAGGAATCAATGATTTCAACTACACCTAGTAGTATTCCAACCACGCCCATCTCCGTTCCAAACAACAACCAATCACTTATCACAATTCCTGTTATTGTTATCGGTCAACCAAATGTACATTCCCGAGCCATGGTAGATAGTGGAGCAACAGTGGACTTTGTAGACGAAGGATTTATTGAACGTTCTCATCTCAAACCTACCACAAAGACCCAAGTCGAACGACTCCGTTTACCAGATGGCGCTACACGCCTTCTGACCAAGGAAATACGTCTTCGAATACTGTTGGGTGAAGGTTTTGAGGTGTACGAATCAACCTTCACAGTCACAAAAATCCACCCTGCCCCTATCGTCCTTGGGCTCACATTTTTGAACAAGATCAACCCAATTATCGACTGGTCAACACAGACTTTGATTCCACGCTCGTTGGAAACCAACAACAGGTTTCAATTCCTAAATATTATTAGCCCAGAAGCTTTCGATCAAGAGGTAGAACCTACCGATATTAGGGGCGCTGTTTACGCACGGACTGTACCAGAAGACGAAACAGAACCAAAGCAAATCGTACCAAAAGAATATTGGGACTATCTAGATGTTTTCTCTAAAGGAGGAGCAAATAAACTGCCTGAACATCGTCCTTTTGATCACCGTATACCCCTGGTTGAGGGCAAAACACCTACTTTTGGACCCATATATTCCCTCTCCCATATTGAACAAGAAGCTCTCAAAAATTATCTCGAAGAAAACCTGAATAAGGGCTTCATCACTCCATCAGAAAGTCCTGCTGGAGCTCCAATCTTGTTTGTTAAAAAGAAAGATGGATCTCTACGGCTCTGTGTGGACTATCGCAGACTGAATGAAATTACAGTCAAGAATCGTTACCCTCTACCCCTTATCGGAGACCTATTGGACCAACTTAAATCCGCCAACATTTATTCCAAAATTGATCTACGTGGTGCTTACAACCTACTACGCATAGCAAAAGGGGATGAATGGAAAACGGCTTTTCGTACAAGATACGGTCTTTTCGAATATAGGGTAATGCCTTTTGGACTCACGAATGCTCCTGCGTCCTTCCAACACCTCATGAACCACATCTTTAGGGATATGCTGGACAAGAACGTCATTATATATCTAGATGACATCCTTGTTTATTCCCCAGATATCCAACAACACGTTAAAGATGTCCGACAAGTGTTAGAAAGACTTCGTCAACACAAGCTGTTCGCCAAACATGATAAATGTGATTTTCATGTTCAAATGGTCGAGTTCCTAGGATATGTCATTCGACCTGGAGGGATAGAAATGGATCCGAAGAAGGAAAAGTCAATAAAAGAATGGCCTAAACCGAAAACGGTCAAGGAAGTTCAATCCTTTCTAGGGTTTGTTAATTTTTATCGAAGGTTCATTGCAGGGTTTGCACATATAGCTAAACCCCTACATGAACTTACCAGGAAGGGGATATCATTCTCATGGGACGAGAAATGTGACAAAGCTTTCGAAGAACTTAAAATTAAAGTTGGATCAGGACCAATATTACGGCATTTTGATCCAAAATTACCGTGCATTGTGGAAACCGACGCTTCGGATTATGCCCTTGGTGCAATCCTTTCACAGCATGAAGACAACGTACTACGTCCAGTTGCTTTTGCTTCACGAAGCATGGCACCGGCGGAACTTAACTATCCGGTGGCCGAAAAGGAGCTGCTCGCAATAGTATATGCCTTTAAGGAATGGCGCCAGTACCTAGAAGGAACCGAAGTACCGGTAGTAGTCCTTACGGACCACCAAAGTTTACAAGTTTTCCTTACCACGAAGCAACTCACGAGAAGGCAAGCTCGTTGGTACGAATTCTTGTCGGAGTTTAACTTTATTATCCAATACAGACCCGGCAAGCAGTCGACGAAACCGGACGCGCTGTCCCGCAGAGTCGACTACAGGCCGTTGGATGTTAAACAGACCTCATTATCTTCAGAACTCAATGATCATAATAACCATCCACTGCTTACCAGCGAACAACTACTTCTCTCCATGATCAAACTACAAGGGGACAAACATTTCGTGAAAACCCAGGAGGAACGGCGTCGAATTATCCAACATGAACATGGTGGAAAGGATGCTGGACACCCTGGTTGGAGAGTAACATTAAGAAAAATTAGCGAGTTGTGGTTTTGGACTGGGATGAAAGAAGATATTAGAAAGTATTGTGAAGAGTGCGAAATCTGTCAACGCACCAAAGCAAGACGTCAAGCCCCTGCTGGTTTCCTACAACCCCTAGAAGTACCCGGAAAACCATGGGCTGATATTACTTGTGACTTTATTGGACCCCTACCCAAATCAAACAATTTTAACTCAATCTTGGTAGTTGTCGATAGGTTGACGAAAGTGGCTGTCTTTATTCCCACCGTTACCACTATAACTGCAGAAGATTTTGCGGAATTATTCCTCAAGAAAGTGTACACAAGATTTGGTGTACCAGACTCAATTGTGTCTGACAGAGGATCTTTATTCGTCTCTAGGTTTTGGAAAACCTTCAACACGTTGTTGGGAACGGACTTGAAGTACTCAACAGCGTACCACCCACAAACCGATGGACAGACGGAGAGAGTAAACCAATGGCTTGAACAATACCTTAGAATCTATGTCAATACGGAGCAAGATAATTGGAGCTCCCTTTTACACTTTGCTGAGCTATGCTACAATACAAACTGGCATAGCTCCATTCAGATGTCCCCCTTAAAAGCTTACTCAGGGCGGGACTATAGAACCAACATGATGCAGCCTATTTACGACAAGGCTACACCATTTCCTTCTCCACGTGCTACCGCAAGAGTTACAGCTCTAGGTAAACTTCAACAACGCCTAAAAGAAAACCTACAACGTGCTCAAGAAAACTATAAACACCAATACGACAAAAAACATAGAAATATTGTTTTCGACGTAGGTGACAAGGTTTGGTTGGACTCAAGGAACTTAAAATCATTAAGACCCACAAGAAAATTGGATCACCGCTTCGTGGGACCATACAAGATTATCCAGAAAATCAATGATAATGCCTACAAGCTAGATTTACCAAAAGAGATGTTAGCAAATAAGATACACCCAGTATTCAACGTAAAACTACTTGCTAGATCTAAAGGACAAGTGATTGAATCAGAACCAGCCTTGGTAACTTCCAAACAAGACGTGGTAGAAGAGGAGGAAGACCTCTACGAGGTTGAAAAGGTGATAGGGAAAAGGAAAATCAGACTACCTGGTCGTAACAAGGCCGAAGAACAACTTAAGATTGTCTGGACTGGATTCCCTGAAGGGGAAGCCACTTGGCAACCGTTGGAAACCATCAAAACCAACCCAAAAGTTATAGAATTCTTAAAGAATTCCAACAATTCGAGGATGGATTCCAACAACACGTCGTTGGGTACCAATGTACTTCATACAAAACGACACAGAAAACCAACTGCTAAGTTGCGTTTTGCTGAGACCCTTTAGGGGCTCAGCAAATAACAAATTTCAATAATACTTCGACATGACGAGAAAAGATTGCATGATGATACTCTTCTATGAACAAATTTGATGCTATCTACAGGTAGTAGGCTTCATTCCACCCGTACCACACAACAAAGGACACGATAATTGATACAAAAATCTATGCCTCGACTTCCTCGCCAGCGTTACCGGATTCACCCTCCACTTCTTCCGTTTCGGTGGTGGTATGAGAGGATTTACTCTCATCCTCGTCACTTTCCTCAATCGACGGTTCACTTGGTTCAGAATCAGACTCGAAATCGTCTACAGCCTTCTGTTTTCCTTTCGACTTCTTATACTTCTTCTTAGACGAACCAGTTTTGGCGATGGGGACCGGTCTTTGTTTCTTGTCCGGCAAAGCAGAGTATGCCCACCGAACATTACAGTAATCGGGGACTTGGATACCAACTACGTGTCCGAAACGATGGGGAATGGGTACACGGAAATCGGGACCAGATATTTTACATTCGTTTAGCTTCTGAAGGTTAGGAACTACGTGTGGTAGGAAACAAACACGCACCGGCGACGGCAACAGGTGGAGGAGAACGAACAGGAGGGACTTGAGATCCGGAACGGCGACCTTGAGATCCAGAACGGCGACGCTTGTTAGCCTATCTCGTCAGCCAGTCCTCCACCACAAAATCGAGGATTTTTTTCGTTTCTTTCGCACGGATCATGGTACTCGTACTCACAGACGCTTCGGTGGCCTTTTTCAAGGACGCAAGTTGTTTACGAGTAACCATTGTTAGTAAAAGTGTTGTTAGAATGGAGAAGGTCAGAAAAGAAATGAGTAAAGAGGTAAAGAGAAGAGACGAGAAGAGAAGGAATCGAACTACACGACGAGGGGAACATTATTTGATAAGTAATGACACGTCATGACCACGTGGAATTCCTGACAACCATCAAATTCTCTTAACAACCATCACGATGACGTCGAGACGACGTCTACCGAAGGAGGGGAGTAATGTCAGGATCACGCGGTACCACGGGTACCTTACCTTGTAGTCGTACTCTTTTCCATTCCCGTCCCCGTCTCCATTCCCGCGTCCGGGCTTACTCCGTTTGCTACTACGCCTGGATCCACTCATTCGACACCTCTACCCTTTTTTACATCTCCGTCTCGGTAACTATCATCGCTCTTCCTCTCCTATTCTACCTCGACTTCATTCCAAACTACGCATGCTCTTATCGGTATCACTCCGCTCTCTTTTTAGTATATAGACGTAGTCTTTTCTCAGCAATGTCTTGTCGAATGTATTTTGTGTTTTCCTAGTTATATCATTTGACATACATCTCATCGATCTTACAGATCTCTTCGATACACTACATCACTAGGTTTGTTCCCTACAAGGCCTCATTGTCATAGCTCATCGACGCAGACTATCCCGACGTCTGGTCCTTACACTAACGCAGATGAGACAGATGCCCCAACTATCCTTGAAGTCCTTCACTCTGAATGACTTTGACGCAGTGGCAACGCAAGTGAATAATGAATCAAATGGACAGTGGACACTCATCAATTCAGTCACTTCTAAGCAAGCTTCTGATGTCCGTCGAATGTGGGAGGAGTATTTGAGAACAAAGGCTCTCAATGGTAGTATGTATGCTGGCAGTCAAATCTGTGGAGAAGAAGACAAAGATAGTACACCTGAGGGGCAGATAACTCAACAAGTGAGTGTGCTCCTTGATGGTGATTCAGGTAGAATCGCTGTAGGAGCGCTTGTACTGTCCTACAGGCTGACTGACGGGTCGGTGTTACTTATCAAACCATTTCACACAGTAGAATATGAACAGAAAACTACTTGGGTGCAACTCAGTATCTTGCCTGCCTCCAAAGCACTGAGTGTGAGCTCCTTCTCACAAGAGTTAGGACTAAGTCAGACTCAGGTACAAAGTATTTCCAGTACTCTAGCCAGTCAAGAGTATAGAATAATTGACTCAACAAGTGAACTGTGGAGCTGAAACAACAAGATTTCTGGCAACACCATGGACCATGATGGGTGTCATAACTCTCAAATACCTGTAAATACCACATGTACATCATCCACCCCAGTCCCCTATCACAAACATGGTTTCTTCTCTTCTTGACAGTCCTGTCATGTGGTGCTGTGTGACATCACTTTCCTCCCATCAGATGAGGTTCCTTTGGACATCTGTTCGCCATCAATGATCCTACCTTCACAAACTTCACCACCCATGAGGGTATTAGGAGGCTAACTTCATCAAGGACAAAGTTAGTGTCATAACCCTCAAATACCTGTAAATACCACGTGCATATCATCCAGTCAAGTCTAGTCAACTTTACTCAAATCGTCTCAACTCGTTCCATTGTACCACATGTGGATCACCATTCAACCTTAATCACCCTCCCATAACTGAGTCAACCTGACTCAACATTGTATACATCAATCACATCATCTGTCGTCAGCTATTGTCATCTATTGTCATCTGTCATCATCCCAAGCTCCGGCCGACATGTACCAGGTTCCGTGTCCTCAGTTCCGCTCAGACCGGACAAACTGATAAGCGAGGGTACCTCGGGAGTAATATTAGCCAGATGGCCGGTCGGCATCTATTTCTGTATATGAACCCGTCCAAATCAACAAACAACAGAATCATCAATGATCGATAATCAGCCATCAATTCCTTAATTACTAATTAGTGCCTTAATTAGCCATCAATTACGGTGTAAGGGTACTGGAAACACAATGACTAAGTCACAGGTTGGGTCGAACTCGATGGAACTCTCGTAGAGTCTATGTATCTCTGGTGCTAAATGGTGGATAGTGTCTCCTCTGCAATCAATGTAGCCAAAGAATGATATTGAAGAATCAGCAAAGTTGGTACTTTGCTGATTGTACTATATACTGTCTACAGGTATCCATGTCTTACTCCCCGTCCTACTGCAAGCGTCTATGTACCTACTCGGACAGGTGAAAAACCGCTTTTGAGCAAACCCAGTGGGGAAATCTCGAAAAGGGAGAACCTGTCCCTACATACTGCAGCACTGCCTCCAACTCCCGCCGTTCTCTTTGTTAATCCGTCAAGTTCGATGAAGTTCTGTCACGAAGTGACAAGACAGTTTGGTTAGAGTCGGATGGGTTGGGTATTTAACCAGCGACCAGCGGTTTGCAGTAACCGCCGGTTAATAGGCCTGTTAGCGCAGTGGTTTAGACCACTGTCTCTGAAGGGCACTGTTATATTGTCCCAATGCTGTTTCGTTGGTCTTGTGACAAGTTCTCTCAATTCGTTGTTACTCCGTAACATACGGGTACCTCAATTAGTGATCAATTGCGGGTACCTTAATTAGCGATCATGCCACTGACATCATAGGAGTACGTACGTCTGTCAACGGTAGTATGACTCCCTCGGTTACCAAATGACTGGTTCACTGGATCAATCACCGGATCGATCACAGGATCAATCACAGGATCAATCACCGGGTCAACCACAGGATCAACCGGTCAACCGGTCGTCAGGATAGCCTTGTGAAAACACATGTTTGAATATGGTAAACATGCTGCTGATCAAAACACACCCGCTACTGATCGAGAAGTGTACACCACTGATGAAGAGTACACACTAGTGATGAGGAGTACGCACTAATGGTCAGAGGTTTCATCTCTTTCAGCAGTGCGGACGACTCAACTGAGAGAAACAGAAGGAAAGCCACTCTACTAAGCATATTCAGCCTATATTTGAACCTCTCGAACCTTTACCAAACTTGCAGGATTGAACCAGGTATTTTTGAGTCAGAATCTGCATAATGTGGGTGCTTAAGAAACACCCTCTGAACCCCCTGAAAGATCAGAGCTCATCTAATTCCCAGGCCTCAAGATCACTTCTCGCGGCTCCTTTATTCGTCTGACTTTTCAATGGGTTTTTGTCACGAACTACGTCGCGACACCTCGATTACTCCACCAACAATGACCCTCCTTTGGCCATCAAAACCCCATCACGCCTTAACCTCTTTACTCTACACGTAACTCAGGACTTCTGACACCAAGTACGGCGAAGTTAGACGGAGTTAGGCTAAGTAGGGACAATGGGAGCAGAAGTGCGGCGATGTTAGGCGGAGTTAGTCTAAGTAGGGACAATGGGAGCAGAAGTACGGCGAAGTTAGACGGAGTTAGGCTAAGTAGGGACAATGGGAGCAGAAGTGCGGCGATGTTAGGCGGAGTTAGTCTAAGTAGGGACAATGGGAGCAGAAGTACGGCGAAGTTAGACGGAGTTAGGCTAAGTAGGGACAATGGGAGCAGAAGTGCGGCGATGTTAGGCGGAGTTAGTCGAAGGAGGAAGAGGATGGCCGAGGGCTCGGGGAAGTTGGACGAAGTGCGTTGAAGTACGTCAAAGCGCGAGAGGGTTGGATGAACGTCTAGGAGGAGTAGATAATATTAGCTGAGAAGATCGCTGAAGTTCTTCAGCGATCCTTGATTGTTGTCAGTAGTGAAAGACAGATAGAGATAGCTATAAATCAAGATACATCGCCATCAGTAGAACAAAACCCTAGTTAGAGTAACTACGCCGAAGTACGCCGTAGTTACACCCCTTTCGACGTCTGCGCCCTCCTGGTTGGGTGAGACATCGACTCAGAGCGTGAAGTTAGCCGAGGTTCGTCGACCGTCGGTCTATTAAGAAATAGTTGTTCGACGGCCGTGACAGTTTTCAGCCTTTGATGAGGAGATCTCTTCTGGGGCTTCTAGGATGAGTCAGAGGCTTCTGAAAAGCTGTTTAAAACACTGCTTTTGATACAGGGTTTCTTCAGGGTCTCCTCAGGGTTTCCCCCCTCGAAGTAGGAGAGGCGAGGAAGGAGTTTTAGGCTCAGTTTGGAGGTCTTTGTCTATAAATAGTGGTTCTAGCTCTCTGTTTGTTTCTCTGTCTCTCTGATCTCTCTGATCAATTGTCATCTTTGATTTCAACTCTCTACTCTAACTTACTGTTGCCTTTAAGACTGTTTGAGACACGCCATTGCGGCTTCATCCTCATCAGTTGTATATTTGTGACTGTTCCGACAACCCCTCCGCCCCACAACAAAGAAGAAGATCCTCTTACACCTCATAACATCCACATTCTTAGAGCCAACAATCGTGGAATATGTCAAGGTAGAATAGTGTCACAATCGTCGTTTCTTCTCCTCTACTGACCGACGGTCAACAAACCTCGGCTAACAACGTCATAGTGGGGTGTCGATGTCTCACTAGGACAGGGTACTCATCAAGGAACTACGGCTAACTTCGCCGTAGTAATACGTCGAGTGGTAAATGATAAGATGATCGTTGATGAACTGCGGCTAACTTCGCCGTGGTACGTCGAACTGCTCGATGGTAGCTCTCCTTAACTCGAAGGTTGTAGCTACTGAATATATCTCTTGCTACTGACAACAATCAAGGATCGCTGAAGAAGTTCAGCGATCTGTAAACTATCTATACTGCTCCTCTCTTCTCATAGAACATCCCTCAACTCTTGCACTACCTCACGCTCAGTCCTCTTCGTTCAACTTCGCCGTACCTCGCCATATCCCCGATGTCCTACTCCGCTCACCTTGCCTAGCTTCGCCTGTCCTGCTCTCCCTCGGTCCCCTTCTCCTAACTTTGCCGTAGTTCTCCGCTAGGCAGGGTTATCGTGACAAATACCCTCTTGGTTCTCGTAACTTCGCCGTAGTCGGTCTCAGTGGTTCGGGTGGTAGTTGGTGATGGTGAAAGGAGGGTTGGTGATGGTGGTTGTCAGGGATGTTACGATGTGGTTTGTGACACAGGGATTGCTTGCCCATTTTGAGGATGATCGCAAGGTCCTATTCTGCGGACTTTCCGCTCATACGACAGACTCAATGGAGCCTCATCCATGTTGAAGATACAAGAGGGGGCATATAGGGCGGTATCTTATACATGTTTCACCTATCAGACATCAGCAGATAACTCACAAACAATGGAAGACACACTAGATCATAAAACACTTGTTTGGTCCTCACTTTGTCTGCTTTGAGCCTTGCCAGCTCCTGATAAGTGTAAAAGCGGGATGTGAGGACATCCTTATGTCTATCAACAAAGCGTCCAACCCAGTTCTTCCCCAATGATTCTTCACAGACAGCTTCAGCAAGCTCTTCGACATGACGGGGTGTAAGGAGGGTACCACGGCTAGCATATTCATTGATCTTGAGCACTAACTGCTTCTCTTGTTCTACTGACAGACAATGAGGGGCGTTGATACGGTGAGGAAGATGGATGGAGCGATGTTGGTCATTGAGGGTGGTTCAGGGGACTTTGAAACGATCTGCCACGCTTTGGTAACTCTTGGAGGGGTGCTGATTCTTGTACTGAACGGCTAGAGCTATCGGACCACCCATTGTTGTCTAACTGAGAGAGAAGTATGCAAAATCTATCTCAAAGCTATGAAAATGTGGCACTGCCGAGAAACACGTGACGACGAGTACTCCATTTCTTCCTTGAGAAACCTCATCAAGCACTTCAGGTCATGAAGCTAAAACAAAGAGAGTTGAAAGGTTTGCCAACTTGTCTCCCGGGCGCACAGGCCTCCTTTCATCATTTTCCTTATGCCCGACGAGCGCGGATCAGGCATAGGACGAGGGTGCAGAGAGAAAGAGTGGGAGAATAAGGTTATAAAAGATCCTCCTGTTCCCCTTCCCCAAATGAAGTCCATAAATCTTCACTGCCAACACCAAATACCGCAAGCGGCTCTTTCAAGATCTTGAACACCCTATCAAGTCAGACTTATTGGAATGCTAGGTGATCCTTACTCAAAAGAACGCGCTTACGCTTGCCTTTGCTCTGTTTTGGATGATTGGTGGCAAACTGGGGAGCCTGCAGCAGTCGTTTTCACAGATTTGGATGACGGAGTGGAGAAGGCCATTTGCATGGATGGGCAACTGAGCATTCACCCCAGAAATCAGGCAATTGCTGCCATCTCAAATCGAAGAGGCGAGGGCCAGAACAACAACTTTCATATCAAAACAGGTTTTGTCTGTGAGGCCACATCATCCCCTGATCTCACTCTGGTAATTTTGTCTGCTACACTGAATCTCACTTCTCATCAGCAGTATTTAGCGGGCGAAAAGACAAAAGCAGCTTTACTAGATAAATCCAGGTCAATGCACAAGGAAGTATCAATGACTTTTGGCAACTTGGATAAATATGGGTCCCCGGCATGCTTGCTTGTGAAGAATCTCATCTTGTATTGTGCAGACCCTAGTGATGTAAGCACCAATGTCAGGGGTGTCTGGGAGGTACAGAATGAAGGTTCAAAGCTGATGTCTTTGTCACGAAGCTTTCCGGACGGACTCCCAATGTATACAAGCGAGGAGAGCAAGCTTGGTACTGTGGTGAAGGAGATTCTACTTGACCAATGGACCAATACCGGTGAAGAGGTCACGATGAAGTGTGGGAATTCCGACGATGATACTTGCATAGCGTTGTGCGTCACGAATTGGAGATTCTGTGTGGCCTACCCTGAGGATGTACCGGCAAGTATGCAGCTTTCCAAACATAAGCTACCAGAAACACTGTCTTTATCACACAACTTCCCTGGAGGACTACCTGTATACAACAGTGGAATGTGCAGAAGGCAATCGGCTGGTGTTGGCGCTTACTGACTTATGGCTGAAGAGGGGTGAGATTGCTTTTATTTGTGAAAATTGGGATGATCAGAGCCAAATGGCACTGCATGTCAAGGACGGAGTACTGGATGCTGTGAAGCCTGATCGTATACCAGAAAGTGTCCCGTCCATAGCAGAAGAGATCCTGCCAACACTATCTATGTCACTCAGCTTCCCTCGAGGACTTCCTAGATTTCTCTTTTGTCCTCATGGCAAGACAGTGGTAGCAACAATATCATGCGGCCTGGCTGGATGTTCTGCTTCCCATGCGGCGGATATAGTGGAACAGATTCTGACCGTACCCGAAGAGGTGTGATCGTTCCGGTCGGGACTGGCATCTTCTCCCGCCACATTGTGGGTGGCATCATTGGAGCTCAGATGTGGAGTGATAGAACACAAGTGGCAGACAGAGACGGAATGCATGTGATTCAAAGCTATCCACGGCACTGGAAGGCCCATAACTAGAGCCCATTGTTACCGTAGATGAAGGTTGCGCAAAGACCAGAACAGGTCTTGGTAGCCCTGACAGTAGTACAACATGTACATGTGTGTGTATTTAAGCTATGGGTGTTCTTGGTAGCTGGTCCATATGGCAGGAAAATACTGGAAATTGTGGACCTGGAGAGAAGTGTTTTCGGCCGGATCTTGCCTCAAGCTGCTGGGGTATGAGAAATTATCTGACCGTTTGTTAGCTAGAGCCCCAATGTCCATGTGAGGGTCGTGATGGTCTTTCTCTCCAATTGCATCTATAGAAACGTAAGTCTATTCGATGACAAAATCATCTCACAAGTTTGTGAGACCCTAGGATTATGGTCCAACCTTATATCGACGTAGGAAACGTTTTAAAAATGATGAGGTCGACTCAATGTCACTAGACCATCTTGGATTCTAGCGATATCGATCCAAGGCAATAGAGCTGACCGGACCATTATTTACTCAAATTTCACGTCTCTTGTCATGCTTCCAACATCTCTTGTCAAGCCCATATGGTCTGAGGGGGATGTTCATGCGACCAACAGGACTGGAGGTGCGACTTTCACCCGGAGAAGTGGGCATGTGCGGCGGTAGGGGACGGACTCAAAAGGAATGTGAGGAGAAAAGCTATGAGGTCAGTGAGACCGTATCTACCTCGAAAGATTTATCACTCTTGTCGGAACAAGAAAGAGGAAGGGACACTAAACAGACATGGTGTGACGAGCAACATTCCTTCTACACTTTCCGTGACGGCCGTTTCTTGAGACGATCTTGTGGTAGAGAAACCTGTTGGGGTTTCCTTGAGGGAGAAACATGCACAGCCACATAAGCAGAAAAGGAGCTGAGCAGTAAGATTCTTGAACCAACTTCTTGTATGACATCATGCTGTTCCCTCGTCGGAGAAGAAGGGGAGATCGAGAAGAAAAGAGGTCCGTGCGGGGCGATGCACCTCTCACCTTCCCATTGTTCTTCCGTGAGGTTCTCATCTAGTCTCCCAAGCTAAATAAATAGGTGGAAGAGGGAAGAGGAGGCCCTGTCAATCCTTCATATCTTTCTCTTCTCAACCATTTGAGTTCAGGGAGGTCACTTGAAACTGCTTGCTGACAGGTCCAAAATGCGCGTTACTCAGAATCAACACCGTTTGGCTGAGATACGAGAGTCTCTTATCTCACAGTTGATAAAGTCTACTTCAGAGGGCCCAGATTCTGAGTGTTCTTTGATCTCATTTGTAGGTCGAGGTGGTGCTTATCACTATCGCTTTTTGCTTTTGGGGATATCAGACCAGACTGGGTCTCAAAGGACTCTCTGGTGGACCAAACAAGTACCCGTAGGATTTCCAAGGCTCTAAAATGCTGAATCTCTGAAAGGCACCGAGGAAGAGATTGCTCAGGCGGCAGAAACGGTCCTAGCATCATATGCGTCCCAGCAACCATCTAAGATAATCATCAATGGTCTCAGGGCGAGCTACAATTTGAGTGCTGCACTACACTCCCTGGACCTATGGGCTCTCAGGCAGATGTGTTCGGGACAGATTGTTCGTCAGTACTCATTTGGTACCACAAAGTATAGGCTATGGCAGTTTACAACGGCTAATAGTGAACTCCTCACACCCATTTTTGAACGAGTTTGCTGGGCATTGCAGCCTGGACCAGAGACCAGGAGAATAAGGGCCGTCCCCATAATAACAGCTCACACTACCTACAATCTAGTGATTCAAAGAGAGTTTGAGGGAGAAAACATTGTGCTCAGTCTTCAAACTGGCTATTGCCCCGAAAACCTGCCCATTGACAGGTGCTCAGAATACGTCTACTTAGCGGACTCAGCAGACGTCCACGTAACGAACTCAGCAAGAGTAGAAGACGCCATCGACAAGAACTCAGCAAGAGCAGCAAGAGCAGCAAGAGCAGAGAACGCCATCCACACGGCCGCCAGCTTAGTGGCAAAGGTAATGAGAGAATATCAGAAGACCAAACCAGATCCTGAGTGGACATTGAGAGGATGCAACGTGGTCCATTGGAAGACCGAACTAGATCCTGAGTGGACATCTGTAAGGAAGTGGGGAAATTTCAGTCCACATACGGATGTAAACCAGAATCACCCAAAGACCATGTATGACACTTCTACAGATATGGACCTCAGTAGTAGTAGTGGTAACTAAGAACCGGTGGTACCATACAGGCAGGGTAGAGTGCTTGTACTATCAGCCTCCTGACCCTAAGGTTTGATATGCGCATATAAACAACAACAAGGGATGAGGAATCGGATGATGATCAATGAGCCAGGAATGATGCATGAACACGAGAGAGAGTGAGTATACAAAACAACACTCATCATGTACCGTTCATCACGGTTACCCATGACTAGATGTGCTTGGAAAGCCACTGTCATCCGCATGAGAAAGAGAGATGGACGCTGAAAAGGGTGACGCGAAACGTTGTTTTTCACTTTCCGTGCTACCTGTTTTCAGCTTATCTTTCAGGGGAAAACCCTGTTGGGGTTTCCACAGGTGGGAAATTTGTACAGCCTCATAGTTAGCAGAAAGGAGACTAGCAGCACCAACTCCAAGTCTGTCCTCCGTATGGCATGTTGTCTTCGTCGTCGGAGAAGAGACGAGGTTTCACGATAAAAGGAAGTCCGTGCGAGGCCGTGCACGTCTCACCTTCCCTTTCTTTCTTGTCTGGTTTTGGCTTCTTCTTCTCAAGCATTCATCCAAGCTATATAGGTGGAAGAGATGAAGAGGAAGACCCTTCAATCCTTCTTAGTTTCCTCTTCTCATCTAGTTACTTTTGGTATCAGGACTTTCAACAATTTGGGTGCAATTGGTGCTCAAGATGAGTAGCATGACAAAAAACGATTGGGCACGGGTCCATGCTATTGAAGAACTGGTTAAACAAGTGTTGTCAAGGAATGATTGTCCTTTATCTGTACTTATTACTAAGCTTTATCTGCCAACAGACTCACAACGAAAAAGGGTGAAGTTTCTGACTGCGGAAAAAATAGGAGAAACCAGTGTAAGGTTGACATGGGCTAGTGTAGTGCCCGTGACGGTTCCCAAGGTTTATCGAGTCGATCAACCAGATAAGCAAGTTTGGCTGCAAGGGACAAAATCACAGATAGCTGAAGCACTGTCTTGGGTTGAAACCAGCAACAGTTCAATCCCGGGCTTAAGAATTATCAATGATCTGGACATATCTGACATATCTGCATTCCATCGTTTTGCGATTCTGTCATACTCTAGGTTCGGGAGCACAGACACAATGAATGGGCCATGGAATATCATAATGTACCCTCACATTCCAGGTCTCTACGAAGCTATTTGCTTGGGTATATATGTAGAGTCACCAATTTCACAAAGTAAAGGAGAGTACATTGAAAAACTCGGAGTAGTGTCAGGTATCGAAATACGATCACCCTTACCTGGGACTTCATCATCGTGGCTTGTCATTCAGCGCAACAGATCATCTATCACGATGACTCTCCATGACGGGGACCCACCCACAGGCCTACGTATTCTGGAATGGCATGAAACACAGATATATACCTCTTTTGATAAGCTCAGAGCAGCTACTACCCTGGTGGCAGAAATCATGGAGCCCTATGGAGTAAATGATCAGACTGATCCATTGCAGCCTGACTGGGAATCTGTGATGGATGTAGAAGCTGGGCGGTCAGCCTTCTTTGAAGAACAACAACAAAAAAAACGGGAATATGATGCTAGGAGGTACATACATCAAAGAGCTGACGTTGAGGATACTGCATATCACAATGATACTGACACAAGTGAATACGGCACTTTTGAGCAAGGGGGTGGAGGTTCTTTTGAGCAACCCAGGACGATTGGGATGAGCGACAGGGGGAGAGACTGGAATGAGCGACCGGAGGGAAGCAACCTGGGGCGGACTGGGAGGAGCGATACTAGAGTGAGCCAGGCGGAAAACAGTACTGCGGGATCGAGTACCCGCAGGCGCAGGAGGAACAGTTGGGGCAGTCCGACTACTGGAGAGTCTAATCACAATTCTGGTAAAAGAACAAGATATAATTGATGCATAAGATTGAGAGAGTGATTTTGGGTCTACATACAATGCAATCTACAATAGAATCACACAAGAAGGAAATCATAATCCTCGGCATTTGAGAAGCAATCACGATTGAAAGGGATGTTGTACCAACTCGCGATATAAATCCTCCGGTATATCCTTGACTAACGCCACGCAGACATTGATCACTGGTCTCGCTTCGAGCGGGGGGAAAGTACGTAATATCTTCATCGGACTGATATCAGTGTTTCATATTTTCTTGATGTTACTAGAGGGTATAAACATACGAAGGAGAAATCATGAGATCTTGTTTCATAAGAAGCAATTGAGCAATAACGCAGAGAACGTTCAAGTGAACTCCGAATGCAAGTAGAAAACTTGATCATTAGCATAACCCAAGCTACTCAACAATGGGGATAGACGGTAAAAAAAGGACTCACTCCCATAATTGGAGCACTTCGTCCAGAGGTGGTGTACATGCGCATAGTGTCAATACGGCTGATAGTCAGTATGTTTCTACTTTCCTTTCGGGTATGATATTGTTAATGATGCTTGGATTTAATAGGAGGAGGCAATGAAAATCAGACGGAGGGTAGATAATGGTGATGAAACTCACATGGGAAGGCGTAGAGCTCAGCAGAAAGGTTTTTCGAACGTAGGTGATCGTATAATTCTCCGTCGACAATCTTCAGGCATCGATCCAGGAGCTATGAATGTAAGCACTAGTCACAATAAAGCGATGACGGGTTGACCCGGCATCGGAAAATGTCATCCGTGGTGAATCTGGGGATTTGAAGGAATGAGTGTCTCCATTCCGATTCAATCATGTTGTTGCTTCACTATACGAGGGATACTGGAGATTATGGTATGAAGCCGCGATTACCCACCTTCAAACCTCGATGAACACCCACCAATGTAGGCTGGACGTATAAAGGACAACAGATTTCGATAAAGGTTGAAAAGCAAGCAAAAGCTTCCAATTGGGTGGGCATGGTATACAGGAAAGGAGCGGAGAGCACGTTCATCCCTGTTCAATAAGCCTCACAAATCTGCACCCCATCTCAGGAGGGAAGATTACCTTGAACGTAGGTGAATGGAAGACCATCCCTCTCGGAACCTATGTAGCGTCAGCTGGAATGCTAAATCGTACACGTTATCAAAGAATGTTGAACAGCTTTTACTTGTCCTGTCAAAAAGGTCGTGAACCCAGATTTTGGCGAGGAGTCAGAGGACGAATAGTTGAGTCACCAGGACTAGCGACACGTTTCGTATATGGCGTTGGACTGGAGGGGAAAGTAAAAGTTGGACTCACCATGATTCTTCCACACGAACGCCTCAAGTAATCTGATTAGCATATCTTCTTTGACTTTACCTTTGAATTGAGTGTCGGTAGCTAATGTTCGAAAAGTGTCATTTTTTACTGATCTATCAGCTCTTTCCATCTCAGTCGTTTGTATCCTCTCTCCTCCTGGACGATTACACCTCACACGCTTCGTCTTATAAGAGCGAGGCTTATCTTGAGGAAGTAGAGAAGTGAGGAAGGGAACCAACTCACTCTTCGTGCTCACACTAGATGGTCCCATAGCCACATATCGCAGGTATTCATCCGCTTGCAAACGTTCGACTCGAAGCATGAGTTTCCATATTCTCGGTCTGAGTGGTGCTCTTCCTTCCTATCCTGTCAGCCACCCTTGTAGGAGACACTGTCCACAAGCGTCAGTATTTATGGAGTGAAGCAGTAAAGTAGAGGTAATAGATCATTTATGGAGGATATCGGAATCAACCGAGAGTGACTTACATCATTTGGGATACCTTCTGTCAATACCAATCTCCTTATCCTCTTCAAACCATCTGAAATATCCGAAGCTGATCGATGTTTCGATGCCGGATTCAACAAGGTGGAGAATTGATCGTATACGTCTTGAGGCATGTCGTCTAGCGTGTATCTCAGTAACAGACTAGGATTCTATAATGTCAATAAAGACACAGTGGTAATGGTGAGAGATGAGAATAAGAAATATGACCAGGTTGAGTGAGTACAAAGTCAAACGCGAAGTTTGTTGTTTTTGTTTCCCAACCGTACCCATCTCGTTTTCGTTTTCTATTTTCGTACATACATACATCATTCACTTAGGTATCATTTGACTGATCACTGATCTGTGTACTTGACCACAAGACAGACGACGTACATCCCAAAAGACCATGATCCCATACAGAGATGCTCAGCGAGGAAATCTCCACTGACATGGTGGGTTTTTCCAATCTCTCATGATAGGAACTTGACTGATGATATCAGGACAGGATCACTCAGGTATGTTCCCCCCCTTGGTGTTTTCGATCTTGAATTAGTTTACTGAACTACAGTTACAAGATGCAATATTGGATGTGAGTCTATACATCTATCAACCGTCTGGAATGATATCGCGCGAAGAGAGGGAGGATGATGGTATATCATGAGGGATTGGATGGATAAACATAGGGAGGAAAACATACGGAAATCGAGAGAAAAGGGTGAAGGGGATGACACTGACACATAGCTTCTCACTATCACTCACACATCTATCGAATATATAACCAAAAGAACGCAGTTCGAACAGACAAGTTTGTCCATACCACAAACATTATCCACCCCTCTGGCCGCACCCAGGGAGGAGTACAAGGGTGAGTAGTCTCAATGCGTGTCTTCCTCCCTAAGCCCTCCCTTCCTAATTTTGACTGGGAGAAGGATAGATAGTGGTAGTGATCATAAGAGATAGACGATAATGATACACAGAATCTATACAAGCATTCGTTGCGGACATTGTAAGACGGAGTCAAGATATAGAAAAGCTCATCGAGGCGTTACCGAAGAAAGATGACAGTTTCGCCAGGGTGAGCTCTACAATATGATTTTTTATCTCCCACAAAGCAGCCAAGACGTCTCTATCATCCATCATGTCATCTCGGTCTTCTAAAAGGATCTCTCTCCGACCGTTCCATTGGGATTAGAGCACTCGCCGTTCACAGGACCTGGGAAGTTATCCGGCAGGTTGAGAAGGAGATATCGAGAGCTTTCATCACCTCCCGCCCTCAATGAATGCTTTGTTGTGAAAGGGTTATACTGATACACAGGCTGCAAGACTACAACAGCTTCAAGACGAAATGACAATAGCCAACGCGGAATACATGAAAGCTGTCAAACAAGCGGAAGAGCTCTTGGCAGAATTACGGTCCGCCCTGGCTGCTGCATTGGGGAACGAGGGGAAATGATTTGAAGATGGACAATTGTAGATCTATATCATAATGCATGCGACTTTGCTTATATCAATGCTTATCCTCCACCTCTGTCTTGGTCTATCCACATGTCTCAATAGCACCGGACAGACAGGTGAATATAGAACAAGATACTATGGATTCGGGAGGGAACATGGTCGCGTGGTGGAGGACGCGTCTTCTTTTTTTGCTCTTTCTATCTAACATTTGACTTTGAACTTTACCATCTTTTGAAGCACATACAACTACAAGCAAGCATGGCTACGTTCGGTGTGAGACCTGCAGCTCCTCCACAGGATCCTAGACTTCAACCTTGGGTAGAAAAGTAGTGAGTTGTTCTCTACCTCTCCTCACCGTCAAGCTCCGCAATGAGCAGCGTTATTTTCGCTCGTCTCGCTGTCTCTCCTACACATCCCGGCTTTTGTTGCAATGCAGATAAGGGGAGATCTGAGAATGTGGTTGTGAAGACATCTGATTCACCTTCAGTCGACCGAAAACTATCGACGATGTGTCATCTCAAGAAAATACCGTCGCCGTTTTGAGAAAAGCATTAGCATCGACTAATGTGAGTGTTTCCTTCTCCATCTGGCCTTCTACCTTCTCTTTCAATCCCCCCCCCCCCACTAACTCTGCCCCTGCCTCGCCATCTCTCTTCGTCAGCTACAGCACTAGTCATCAATGGCTGTTATCCCCTCCCCCCTGACCCCATACCCTCGACTAGGACCACTAGCGTAGATCATTCTCAATGTTTCTGGATCTTTTAAGAATCTTCGCTAACCCCAGCTACCTCACATGCTCTTCTACGGTCCACCAGGTACAGGCAAAACATCTACCATTCTCGCTCTCGCCCGTCAGCTTTTCGGACCGGACCTATTCCGATCCCGTGTGTTGGAACTGAACGCTAGTGACGAACGAGGGATCACCGTGGTGAGGGAAAAGATCAAAACATTTGCAAGGGAGACTCCTAGACATGTGAGCTTGTCTTCGTGAGTATCCTGTTTTAACACCTTGTATCCTATCATGTATTGAGAGCTGACCCGCTCAGAGATGGAAAGACGTATCCCTGTCCCCCGTTCAAACTCATCATTCTCGACGAAGCAGATTCTATGACACATGATGCCCAAAGTGCGTTGAGAAGGATTATGGAGACTTATTCTCGGATTACTCGATTTTGCTTGGTGTGCAATTATGTAACGAGGTCAGTGATTCGACTTTCGTCGGTCGCCCCACTGGTGCAACTCCCCTCCCCCCTTCCCAGGTTCACTTCCCCCTTTCTTGCTTACTTCGTCAACATGATCCTACGCAGGAATGCCTTTGGCAAATGATTGTAACTCCCCTTGACATGATGCTCGTGACTCAACTTGAGGCTTGTCTAATACTTCCAACATATTAAGATAGATCTCGGGCGTTTCAACGAAGCTGACACCCAGAATCATAGAACCCCTTGCATCCCGATGTTCCAAATTCCGCTTCAAACCCCTCGCTCAAGGCAGCTCTCAAGCGCGTATGGAGATGATCGTAAAAGCGGAGGGCGTAGACATAGAGGATGGCGTGAGTTAATCTCTCTGACTTCTGACTTTTTCTGTTTCCAGCTGACAGGCTACAGGTGTTAGACCGTATTCTCGAATTGGCCGGAGGAGATCTGCGTAAGGCCATTACATTTTTGCAGACTGCTCAAAGGCTACATGGAGCGACTTCACCTCCAACTCCTATCTCAGCCATGTCAAGTGAGTTTAGATTGTTCTCTCTTGAGCTCGCATTTCTTCCCCCGAGTATGACAGCCATTTTCAGCAGTCTGAAGTCCTTTCCAGATCTTCGGTCTTTTAATGCCTGTTATTCTCCCAAATTGAAGACGTTACTGCACTCAGAGTTCCGTAAAAAACATTCGCAATTATAGAATGTTGATGTTCAGTTCATGAAATATCCGGAGTTGTACCAGACACAACTATCCATTCCCTCCTTCGGTCCATGGGCGTCGATCCATTCTCCGGTATCGACCTTTCCATTCGTTCCACTTTTGACACAGTCCGGACCGCCGTCAAGTCCATTTCCCGAGAAGGTTGGTCCGCCGGTCAAGTCCTCGAACAATTACACGACGCTTTGATACCCATCCCCACCATTCCCGCTATGCAGAAAAGTCAAGCGGCTCTGGCTATCGCCGAATGCGACAAGGGGTTGTGTGAAGGGGGGGATGAAGAATTACAGTTGTTAGATTGTTGTTTGAGGATAAGGGAGGTGATGGGGAGATGAAAAGATGTTTTGGGGGGGCGGTCGAAAGTATCATCAAGTTTTGTTTTTGGTAGTTTTTTCATAGCTTGAACGAAATTTGTATCTACAGTAAATGGGCTCTGTCCTGACTGCATCAGATATGTACCGTAACTACCTACCTCTTCATCATCCTACTTGTCAAAGATATCATTGTGAATTTCCATACACCGGAGCACATCAGATCCCCATGACGTCTTCCCACCCGGCCCCTGACTATCTTGTCTCAATCTTCTCATTCTTTTGTGTCTTGGACTTGTATGTCAAGAATGTGATGCATACTCCGACCCACCCCAGTGGATGTAGCACCTCTGCCTTAGGTGAGGTTTCTGTGCACCTCAACCTGTGCCACAGCCTTGAGGTTGAAGGGAGTATGCAACACTTATGTCACATACAAGTACAAGTATATACCATCCACCGCCCCTCTTTGTTGAGGTGAACAGTCAGCCACCGGATCACTCTACAAACTTAGCAGAACTTGCCGCAAGCTGAGACCCCCGTCGAAGCGGTTCAAATGACCAATATGTCGCATGTTCTATTGGTATATGTATATCAAACAAAACCTCATCATAATTTCTCTATTTGTTTTGTGTGTGTGTGTCAGGATTGAACCGTGCAAATGATTCATGTCAAAGTGCTCTGACTATGGTAGACCTCAATAGGGACAAGCCTAGTACTGTACCATAGTTGAAGAGAGCTTGCGAGTTCATGAAAATTGGTCAAGAAATGGGAGTAAAGCTCATGGATCACATCCAACTAGAGATTTTGGAGGATGGACTACTTCCATAGGGTGAGAAGAAGGCTGACCATTACTGAATATACCAAGCAAAGATAAGAGATAAAAAGAGGTAGGAGACTAAACTAAGACAGCCAAAAGTGAAGTGAGACAGGGATGAGGAAATGTGACGTGTGGTACTACTGACCACACAAATATGTACTTAAAAACTGTCATTGTATCCCAGCTAAATTGATCCCCTGCCTTTCCAATTTCGTATTTACGAGTAGGTACAGGTTGAGTAAGTACACGTAGAAGGAACAGCATGAGGGTGGTTCATATAGATCAGTAGGGGGAGTAGAAAACGGAGAGGGGAGAGAGAGAAAGAATGATGGTAAAACTAGTCACCACCCCTATCATAAAGACTTATATCCTGACCATGTGTGAGCTCTAGTGCTCCTTGCCTTACAAGAAGGAGGGAGAAATCTTCAACCCCAGATTCAACTTACGTATGTCAGTGAAGGACGGGATCCGCGACAGTTCGAAGCGTCACGGCTTCCATCCGTCACCTAACTCATACCTACATATTACCCTTCCCCCCCCCCCCCCCCCCAGGTCCTTTCCCGCACTTTCATCATGAATTTCTTCCTACATCTTCCAGGTAGCATACCGGATCAATCTTCTCTTCTCTAAAGCTACTACGCCTACATTGGCATGAGCTTTCTTGAAACTAGAGGTCTTCAAACCTGTCTCAAGTGCATAGGATGACGTGATGAAAGAAAAGAGATCCGTGCGAGGCCATTTTTTCTACCCCTTCCCATTCATCACTCCGTTTCGTCATTGTTCACACCCTATGACGTGTAAAAGGTAAGGGTGGAGTATGAAAAAAAGAGAAGAGATCGTCCACCATGAGCTAGATTCTGATCATCCTCTGATCCATCAGTGAGAACGCAATCATCATTTCCCCCTATATCCTATATCGTCAGTATCACAATTTTGGTTTTCACACGAAGAAATCTATAATCCTGGTTGTTGAGGATGTCGGAAGCTCAACCTTCCATTCGTGGACTGATTGTGATGACAGAAGTGACTCTGACTTTTGATCGATTCAGACATTCAACGGTTGTTGGCACCACATACTTCAATCTTGACAACGGCCAAACCGAGGTTTGGTTGTTGTACAAGAAGAGGTAAAACCTGTATATTACTGGTTAGAATGGTCAGACTCCAATTGGAACACTATCAAACAGGCACAGAGAAATGCTACGAGAGATATGGCAATTTCGCCATCGAAGGACTTGCCAAATATCACTCATTATTCCAAAAGGAGAGTCACGGAAGATCAGTTGGTCGTAATGTCAAATAAAGTTGTAATCACGGACAAATCTACTGGTTTGTTTGTCACAGACGCTCAAGGGGAGGAGGTAAGAGTCAGCCTGGAAGATGCTAGCTCAAGACCTTTTTGGGACAGCGTGGTGCAGAAGGTTCTGACAGGGAAAGTAAGGCAAACCTCGACTCACACAGGAGGCATCGATGCCTTACGGGACAAGGAGTGAGAGACAGGTGTGTCACTGTGAGCACCATGTTGAGTCATCGGTACCGTCTGGAGAGAAGTTCGAAAATCTCGAATGCATACCGTACTTGTCTTGATTGCTGATGATCAATCTTCCAATCTCCGTCTTCTACCTTGTTTGGTGTTTATCTATATATTGGGACATGTTAGTACACTTTTCCCTTCAAGGTCGCACACATCATTCTTCTTCGTGACCCTGCTAGTGATTCTTATATAGAACAATCACAAGCTTCCGGCTCACTTTTCATCTTGGATTAGCTTGTATCACCGAATGGATGAAAAGTGAGACCGTGCGCGACTAATTCATCTTTCATTTCCCGACCTTTCTATCTCATGACGTATCCATTGAGTGTGAGATCTTCCCAAACGATGACGAAGTCTCTTTCTCACGCCACAATCAGGGTCCGCTCGCGGAGGGATTCAGGTAAGTTGAATTTCTGAATCTCTATTGTTTATCCTGACTTACTATCTCCAGCAAAGAAGGAAATTGAGCGCTATACTTGTCAATTATGTCATTGTCAACAACCAACATTGTTGGTTCAGGTAGGTTGGAATTGGAAAGAACCCATTTTAGACCTAATTTGAGCAGACCTACAGGTGCAGAGAGGGCTTCTATACAGGGAATATACATTCTCAGTAAGGTATGGGAGGGACATTGCAGTCCGTTTGGTGGCCCACTGAACATCATATATGATTCCGCTACCGGTAAGTCAGTGGTGGTGGAAGTCCATGTGCACCCTGGAGCAAAACTTTACACCTACCGACCACTTTCTGCAGAGGACTCGTTGGCAGAGCAGCGTTGGTTTAAAGAGGTATCTAGAACAATTGACCTGCCTTCTCTCTTGACATATGAGGAGATGTCTCAAACATGGGGACTCTTGCCTTCTGTTGTGGGGACCATATCACTGGCTACTGCACCACGGAGGGAAATTGCCAGACAATTGGCTCTTCCCCCCTCGCCAACAGCCATAAGCACAATGTTGAACAGGATGAGTATAGATGGATTGGACAATCAAAGTCTTGAGGATCATGGACCAGTTACTTCCACCTCACAGCTTCAGAACATTCCACCACACCTAAGAGGTAGACCAGTTGAGGAAGGAGGTAGTGAGAGTAGTATTAGGGTGTCAGGATCACGAGTACCTATAGACGGGTTCCTCAAGAGTCGTACACAGAAGTCGTACTCCGTCTACCCGTTCCCGTCTCCGCTTCACTAATTCCGCCACGGTATCCTCCATTCTCCTGTCCTACCTAATCGCTAGTACTTCAACATGCGATACTTTTCCTTCACCTCCGTGTCCCTCATCTATCACCGTCTTCCTTTGGTCTATCACCCCATATCGCTTTCCATCTTTATTCCGTAGATTTCGGTATCACTCCGCTCCCCTTTTAGTATATAGAAGCACCCCTTTTTCGTAGATGTCTTGTCGAATGTATTTTCTCGTCATTTAGCAAATCCTTTGCCACTTGATCTCATCGACTTATAGTCTCTTCGATCCACTACATCACTAGACTATAAACTACATCACTAGGTTTGTTCCCTGCGAGGCCCTCTAGCCATAGCTCATAGACGCAGACTATTTTCAACGTCTGGTCCTGACATAAAATACATTTGACCTTACTCGTACCGAGCAAGCCTAGGTGACTTTTCGATCACCCCCATGCCCGATTATTACTCGACTTTCTTGTCGATTTCCGCTGACATAGACTGGGACGACCAGGCACTAAAGGACGCTTTTGAATCAGGCTTGTCGCGAGAAATACGCATAGCTCTCGCGAACCGCGAACACCAACCCAAAACCCTTCGGGACCTCGCCAAAGCTGCTATTAGCCTTTACGTACATCTAGACGGGGTGAAGGTAGCGTCAAACGGTAATAACGGTTCCGGAGGAGGGTATCAACAGAATAAGGACAACACAAAAAACAATTTGAATATCAATAAAGGTAATTCAGACAATACTTTCCAGAAATTTAAATCAGGTCAGCAGAACAAGACCAATGATAATAAGGAAAGAAAATCACAAAACCCCAAAGCAAAAAGCGACAATGAGAGAAAGTCTTTGACTTTCAAGGAAAAGAAACATAGAAGGGATAACGGTCTGTGTCTGTACTGTGGAAGTCCAGATCATATGGTAATCAACTGCCCAGAAGCGAAGAAGCGTCCCACGCCAGCGACTGGGGCAAACCGGATTGGACTAAACAGTCTGACAATCGAGGGCCCCAATAACGGTCAGGATAAGGACTGTCACGGCCGTCGAACAACTTCCTCCTAACAGACCGACGGTCGACGAACCTCGGCTAACTTGACGCTTCTAAATCGATGTCTCACCCAATCAGGAGGGCGCAGACGTCGAAAGGAGTGTAACTACGGCGTACTTCGGCGTAGTTACTCTAACAGGGGTTTTTCTCTGATGGTGATGTATCTTAATGTGTATGTAGCTATCTCTATCAATCTTTCACTACTGACAACAATCAAGGCTTGCTGAAGAACTTCAGCGATCTTCTCAGCTAATATTATCTACTCCTCCTAGATCTTCACCCAACCCTCTTGCGCTTAGACGTGCTTCAACGCACTTCAACCAACTTCCCCGAGCCCCCGGCCATCCTTTTCCTCCTTCGACTAACTCCGCCGAGCCTCGCCGTACTTCTGCTCCTACTGTCCCTACTTAGCCTAACTCCATCTAACTTTGCCGTACTTCTGCTCCTATTGTCCCTACTTAGCCTAACTCCGTCTAACTTCACCGTTGTAACGGTACTGGAAACACGATGGCTAGGTCGCAGGTTGGGTCGAACTCGATGGATGTCTCGTGGAAGTCTAGGGGCTCTGGTGCTAATGGATCGTGTCTCCTCTGCAATCGATGTAGCCAAAGAATGATATTGAAGAATCAGCAAAGTTGGTACTTTGCTGATTGTACTATATACTGTCTACGGATATCCTCGTCCTTGTCCTCTTCCTGCTGCAAGCGTCTACGTACATACTCGGACAGGTGAAAAACCGCTTTGAGCAAACCCAGTGGGGAAAATCTCGAAAGGGGAAAACCCGTCCCTACCTACTGCAGCACTGCCTCCAACTCCCGCTTTTCTCTGTCCTAATCCGTCGAACTCGATAGAGTCCTCTCGATTCGTTGTTACCCCGTAACAAGTTTCCCCCCCTGTCTCAAGGATCCTCGCCGAGGATCCTGAGTCCTGTAACCAAGTGATTCACATGGATTGTTCTGAGACACCTTTGGTGCGCCCTGACGTCACACCTACGCTTAGTGTGACGGTTGCCATGAAACGCGTCACCCGCACGGACCTCCAATGTGATCGAGAAATTACTGACCAAGTTACCTCCCCGTCTTCTTTCTCTTCTTTCCTCCTCACTCTCTCTTTACCTCTTGTTTGTCGTTCTTTTTACTTATCTACCATTATCCATCCATATCTTACCCATATCTTAGCGTATCCTTCCAACTCTGACCTGTCTGTGAGCATGAATAAGCGCACTGTAAGCAATTCCTTTCGAAGTCGATGTACTTCTTTCTATTTCTCACTTGGCTGACGAGATTAGTTGTCTCCTTCTTCGTCTTCTCGTCGCACTCGGGCCTCTACCTTGGCAATTTTACCGGACGCCGACCCCGAACATCTCATGTGTCAAACGAAAAGAATGAGATTTACTTCCCAAGTTCCTGGTACTACCCAGACTCCCACGGTTGACGCTTCTCGAAGGGCTCTCGACACCATTAAGGATTGATATCAATCCGGTCCTTCTCGCGATCAACAATCGTCTCACCTTGATGACCAGGCCATCGAGCAATATTTCGACTTCAAAGGGGGTGCCGGGCCATCTGCCACTGGTGAGAACCTATCTCCCGCCAAATCCGTCGAATCCGAACACGGCACCGTCGTTGAAAATGAAAATTCTCCTGGTAATAAGTCCCCTGCGCCACCTTCTGATTATTCAGAGGGACTTGTCGAGGTTCCCAATGAACTCGAAACCATTTTCCACGCCCCTCGCAAGGTTCCGGCCAATGAAGAACTGGCTAAGTTGCTCCAGGATCGAAAAGACTCCGAGATCGGTGATGATTCCACCGAGTTCTGTTCGTTTCTGACTTGTGAGCTGCCCTTTGGTCCAGTATGACCTTCTCCTCTGTTCGTCTTGCGTTGAAGGACGAAGCTCTGGATCGATTCCGCGAGACCAACTCCATCAAGCCCACTGTAAAGTGGTTTAAGAACGCTGTAAGCCTCGAATTCTTTCAAGTTTCATCGATTCTAATCATTAGCTCGATCGTTTGGCCCAAGGTTGGCGCCTCCGCAACAAAAATGGTGCTGTTGTTCGACTAGAGGGTGAGCTCTGTACCGATTGTCAACGCCGTCTCGATGGTGGTGAAGATTTTCGTGTTGGTTGTATTGGCCCTCGTAAGTTCTTGTTGCGACTCGTTCGATGTTGATGCAATTCAGTTGGTGGTGTTTGTGGAGAGTGCTCTGCGAAGGGAACTTCAAAGTGTTTGGTGAAAACCAACAATCCCGAGTCCAAATTTCGCGAGGTATCTATCTTCTTCCTTCGAACTTGGTCGATGTTGATGTATAGGGTATCGTTGTGGGAGCAAGAACGGTCACTTCCAAGGTTACCTTTGTCCTGGAGCACGAACTTTGTGCAGCTTCGGTCCGTTATCGATCCCTTCCCGCCCATGATCAATCCGCCTGTCTGACCCAACTTTCGGGTTACATCCATCTCTTTACCTCCCTTCTCCTTCCTCTCCCCTCTCAACATCTGGATCTTTACAAATCTCTCCATCTTATTTCTGCCAACTACGCTCCTCCTACCGCCGATGAAACTCTGGATCATCTTACTTCTACTGGGGATCCAACAGGATTGAGTTCTTCTCAACCAGTCGCTGGCCCTTCGTCCTCTCCTCACACCCCTCTTCCTCGCAACATCATTCATATTCCAGCCTCGGTTTGTCGCCTTCGAGCCGATTCCAACGCTTCCATTGACTAGCGTATTCACATTCCTTTAATTTGTAGACATATTTCCTGTGTATGTATCCATTTCCAACCGAGTTTTTGTGACTTTGATCGAATTCTCACTTTCTTCTGGGTTCCTTTTTCCTCTTTTCCAAAAATTCACCAAAGGCGGCCAATCCTTCTACATTTTCTCGTGGTTCCCAGTCATAGGCCGCATTCCCTGTGTATCCTAACCATTTTACCTTGAATTCTTCCTTTCCTCGTCGAATTCTGCTGTCCACAATCGCTTCCACATGGAATTCCTCCTGGCCGTTTATTACTACAGGTGGTGGAGGTTGTACCTGTCGACCTGGTATCATGTCCCTAGGATATGGTTCCAACAACGTGACATTGAAGACATTGTGCACTTTCATTGATGGAGGTAGATCTAATTCGAAAGCATTTTTCCCCACTCTCCTTATGATCTTGAAGGGGCCAACGTATTTTACTTCTAATTTTCGACTGGGTCTTTCCGTCGTAAGATACTTCGTACTCAGTAGTACCTATTCTCCCTCTCTGAATTCTTCTGGTATACTCTTGTGTTTCCTGTTGTAGTATTCTGCACTAATCTCATTAGCCATCCTGACCTGTTCTTGAACAGCCGCATGTAATTCTCCCATATCTCTCCATTTCCTCTCCAACTTGTTTGACTTTGATCGAATATCGTGCGAATGGATGTCATAGTGTGGCACATAGCCGTAACAGGCTTCAAAGGGACACAGACCGTGGCTACTATGTGGCAAACAGTTATAAGCGAACTCAGCAATTGGTAGAAGTTGATCCCAATTGTCCATGTTGTAGTTTACATACATTCCGAGCAGGATTTCCATCTGTTGATTTACTCGCTCAGTTTGTCCATCTGTTTGAGGGTGATACGCAGTCGAATATAAGTTCTTTATTCCTAAGAACTGACATATTTCCTTCCAAATTTCCGCTGTAAACTGAGTTCCCCTATCTGATACAATTGTTCGAGGTACTCCATGTTTTGAAAAGATCTCCTTGATGTAGATGTCGGCCACTTTGTTCGCTGTTAGTCCAGTTGTACATGGAATAAATCTAGCCATCTTGGTTAGTCGATCGACTATCACTAGTATCGCGTCGAACTCGGTCGATTTTGGTAGGGGTCTGTCACGAGACATACTGACCAGCATATGCACGATATAACAGTGCCCAACGGAACAGTGATCTAAACCACTGCGACGAAAAGGCCTATTAATCGGCGGCGGTTAACACTACCGCCGATCGCTGGTTAAATACCCTTCCCCGACTTTCGCTCGACTTGTCACACACTTTGTGACATTATGCACTCTCTTGGGCCCCCGCTTTGGGGCCCCGACAAGGGGACCCCGCTTGGGCCCCCACACTTGGGAAGGGTACGATAGACCGAAAACTTACTCCGAGAGGGAGGTTTTCCAAGTAGAGCCTGGGTTACCCCCGGCGCCGTCCCGGGAGTCGAACCCAGGATCCTACCCGTAACCGCCGATTAATCTGGCACGAGACATACTGACCAGCATATGCACGATATAACAGTGCCCAACGGAACAGTGATCTAAACCACTGCGACGAAAAGGCCTATTAATCGGCGGTTAACACTACCGCCGATCGCTCGTTAAATACCCTTCCCCGACTTTCGCTCGACTTGTCACACAATTTGTGACAGGGTCCCACCATATCCATAGAGATATCTGTCCATGGGAGTGTGGGTACTGGTAAAGAGACTAAATGTCCATACGGCTGATGTCGATGAGTCTTATGTCGGTTACAGATCTCGCATCCTTTTACATATTTCGCAATATACTCGTCCAAATGTGGCCAGTAATAGTCCTCTTTGACCATGGTGATAGTTTTGTCTCTTCCTGGATGACCCACTAGTATCGAATCGTGTCTTGCTTTCATTACTTCTAATCTTGCCTGTCCCTCTGATATGACTACTCTGTTTCTGTACAAGAGTAATCCGCTCTGTGTCCATGATACTATTGGTGTCTCGTTGCTAGCCTGTGTCTTCTGTGTGTCCTGTGTGTTCTGTGTGTTCTGTGTGCTCGGTGTGCTCGGTGTGCTATTTGTCTGTGTCATTTGTAGTCCTAGTTGTCGTATGTTTGCTATGTCTTCTGAGTCTTTCAGTCCGTTCTTGATGAGTCCGAATAATGAGTCTTCCCGGATTGCTCCTCTTACTATGTGTCTTGGTCCTTTGTGTTCTGAGTCCATTGAATTCGATCCAATTTGTTCGTGTGTCGGTAGCAATTGTAGCCAGTTACCTTTGTTTAGGTCTGGGTCCTTGCTACTCCCTCTTCCCGGATGATAATCTCCTCGTCTAGTCAGAGCATCTGCTCCCCCATTTTTGCTACCTGGTCGGTAAGTGATCTCTATGTTGAAGTCTCCCAATATTTCCAACCATCTCATCTGCCTTCGATTTAGTTGTCGTTTGCTTTGGAAGTATTCTAGGTTCTTGTGATCTGTAATGACTTTTATAACATCACTACTGTTGGCCAAGTAGGGCCTCCAGGCGACCAAGCAGTCCACGATGGCTAGTAATTCTTTCTCTCCTACCGTGTAGTTTAGTTCACAGGGTGTCATTGCTCGAGACCAGTACGCAACTGGGTGAAGTTCGGTGGTTCCCTTTATTGATGGGTGAGGGAATCTTTGAGACGCTATCGCACCTATTGCACAGTCGGATCCATCGGTTTCGATCCAAGTTGGTCGGGTTCTATCAAAATGTCGAAGTACTGGTGCTGTGGTGAATGTTTTCTTTAGGTCGTCAAAAGCCTTTTGGCATTCTTGCGTCCAGTTCCAAGCGTGATCTTTCCTGGTCAATCGTGTGAGAGGTCCCACAATATGCGAAAACCCCTTGATAAACCTTCGATAGAAGTTCGCAAAGCCCAAGGACACTTGAGTATCCCGGACTGTCATGGGTTCTCCCCATTCTAGAATGGCTTTCACCTTTTCTTGATCCATTTTGATCCGTTCGTGTCCTATTACGTACCCCAGCAACTTCACTTCATTTGAACTCCATTCGCATTTCCTCGGACTGACGACCAAATCGTTTTCAAGTAGCCGATCTAACACCTTTTGGACAATTATCTGATGGTTTTCGATCGTGTTGGAGTATACCGTGATGTCGTCGATATAGACTACTACCCCTTCGTCAAGTAGATCGTGAAACATGTCTTGTAGAAAGTTCTGAAAGGTGGCTGGTGCATTACACAACCCATCCCTTAGGACTGTGCTCTCGAAACTGCCGTATCTTGTTCGTAAGGCAGCTTTATGTTCATCTCCTTCCTTTATTCTAACTAACTGGTAAGCCCCTTTCAAATCGAGCTTAGTGAAGATCCTTCCTAATTGAAGTCGATCGAGTAGTGTCGAGATGAGTGGCATTGGGTATGAATCCTTAACGGTTACCTTGTTAAGCGCCCGATGATCCGTTACCACTCGATAGGGAATCACTCCCTTTTTTGGAACCAGGAATACAGGAGATCCATAAGGGGATTTACTTCTTCGTAAATGGCCGCTGGCCAAACCGTCATTGATCCACTGCTTTAGGAATGCGTCCCCATGTTCATCCAGTTGGTATATTGGACCTGGTTTTAGCTCTGCTCCGGGGGTCAATTCGATCTCGTGATCACATTCTCTTCTTGGTGGTAGTTTTCTGGCCCGTTCCACTTTAAATAACTCCAGGTATTGGTGCCATTGTGTCGGTATGACCTGTCGTAACTCTTCTTCGCTCATTTCATCTTCTCCTTTTTCCAACGCCGTTCCTCTTACCAATCCTTCCTCCAATCTTGGATACTTCTAACCGTTATCTTGTCCGATTCTGTCGAACTCGATCAATCCCTTTCCACAATCGATCCTTGCCCGAAACTGTTTCAAGAAGTCCAATCCCACCAGTACCTCGGGGCCTTCGTATGCCATCACATCCAATCGAGTCGCAATCTTGAGTCCTTCTCCTAAATCCAATTCAGCTTCTACATACTCGGTCACTAACGTCGCGGTTGTTCCATCGAGGAACCTGATCTTCCGTGGTTCTTGATACTGTCTTTTTGGGAATAAATGATATAATGGACAGGCCGGCTGTACGTATCTTCCGGTAGCTCCGGTATCAATTAACATTCCAAATCGTAGGGTATCTTTTTCTGCCTGTATTTTTATGTATATTATAGCTGAGTCATTACTGAGATCTATTGGTAGTTGGATCTTGTGCGATTCTGTTAGATCCTGGCCGCAAGTGGTCGCATCACTTAGGCCAGGTATTCGTTTCCCTCTTCTTCAAAAGTCACCGCCATTCCTCGAACTAATGGCCCTTTGGATCCGGTTGGGATCGAGTACGATCCACTAGGAATTGGTGAGCTATGCGGGTTTGGGGATCCCCTAATGTTGTTCCTCGTATTTCCTCCATTTGGACAGTTGTTGGCGTAATGTTCTGGACTTCTACATTTGAGACAACATCGGTTCTCCCTCCTCCAAATCATTTCGTTCTCGCTGAGACGTCCTCCGTCCTCTGTCCAAGTGACCGGAGGGTCATTTGGTAGACCATAATTCATCATCCCTGGTTTTCCACCGGGCAAAGGTCCTCTACCAGTCGATTGTGAGTGGCGTTCTACCGGGTTGGGCGGACTGGTATCCAATCACATCGAATTCGATCGAGGGGGAAGCCAGGTCGTCTCATTTTTGCGTCTAGCAGCCCATCGATTCGC